AAATTCTGTAAGCAGGTCTTGCCTCGGATGCAATGGCTTATGTCTCAGACTCTCTTCCTACTACAGGCAGTCCCTGGATTACGTACAAGATAAGAACAAACCTACAGTCCCTAAGTTGAATCTGTATGCAAGTCGGAACTGGCGTCAGCCGCTGCTGAAACTGATCAGTTTCAACAGCGGCTGAATCTGGATGCTAGTTCTGACTTACATACAGATTCAACTTAAGAACCCCAGGCATCCCCAAGTCAGCTGCTGCTGAAACTGTTCAGCGGCTGATTCCAGGAAGCCCGGGGCAGGGGCTTCCTGTAGTCAGCCACTGGTCAGTTTCAGCAGCGGCTGACTTGGGGACGCCTGGGGCAGAGCAGCTGGGGTGCTGCTGGGTTGGTCAAGTTTTTGACATCACAATTCCAGTACATAGTCACGCTGGCCTGCAGTGGTTCATGGAGTCAGTCATGGCTAGCTTGTCTGTCTCCTGCCTAGTGACATTCACCAAATTGTGATGACCAATAGTAAAGGGTTCTATAATGTGGAGGGACAGTACGATGGAATGACTAATTACAAAACATTTATGTATGGAGATCTCCATTATTCCCACAAATGTTTCCATCCATGTGTGGAATACATTTTGTTGCATGTGCAAATGTGCACCACCAGTGCAAACACATGCTGCCAGCTGAGGGTGCTCTGCTAATCAGCTGGGCAGCATTTGAAGCTCTCCTGTGTGGCCACCCAAGTGCACAGCTTATAGGAACAACAGAGACCCATTTATAATGTCACTACTCCAAACTTCTATTTTATTTCTCTTGTATTTGGCGTTATAGGTCATGCTAATTATATCTGTTCCAGTCTTTCCAGGATCAGGATTAAATTTAAAAAAATACATACCAGATTCTAACATGCATGTTGAACCTCTAAATATAAATTTAAAAACATTATTGGACTGAAAAGACACTCACAGTTACCCAGACTTGCAATGACAAAGCAGAATAAGCACCTCAACTACATAAATTATCCATGGTGGTGATCCTGAAATAATCATTCCCCACACTTGGCTAAAAGCTGCACTTTTAGCTTTTGCTTGCACTACAGAGAGTGTTAGTTTTCATTGTGTTAATTATATACTCTCGCTTATGAAGTTTGCTAGAACAGTATAAAACTCACCACTGCCTCATACATTAATTTGGCAGAAGTGTCATCCTGATACAATTAGCAAAGCCACGAGAGGGGCCCTGTTTGCAAATATATATTTGTAAGTTAGATGCAGAATACACCATGGTAATAATGCATGACATTATTATGGTATATTGAATATAAGATAGATTATCATGATGAATTGTATTACACCTACAGGCAGTCCCCGACTTACGTCGGATCCGCACTTACGAACGGGGCTTTCTCGCCCCGGAGGTCGGGGCGAGAAAGCCCCGTTGTAGTTGGGAGAGAAAAGCAGCTGGGGCTACCTTGTTCCACTTCCCCTGCTTCTGCTGACGAGTGCAGAGGAGGGCGGGGGACTGGACCTTTACTGCTGACACCAGCCCTGCTGGTCCACGGCGCTGCTTTGGTTGGGGGGAAGAGGAGAGGCAGGGAGAGGACAGCGCAAGAGAGGGAAGAGTAGAGCAGAGGTGAAGAGGAATGGTCCTGACCCTTCCCTGTGTTGGGGGAGGAGTTGCATGGCTGGTGGTCCCCCAGATGGCCTCTGACCATTCCCCTGTGGTAGAACCGCATGTGAGCACATGACCAGAGCTTCTCTGAGCTGCCATTTCCCCAGCCAGAGGGAGTAGGGGATGACATCAGAATGAAGAACCACTTCCTCTCCCCTGCTAGGCAGAGCCCGTGGGCCCGATGCAGCCTGTAACTTGCATTGATCCAGCCTGTTACGCTTGGGATTCCGGACTCCATAGCAGGACAAGCCAGCTCTGGCTTGCTCTGTTGTGGGAAGAGAGAGCCCAAGCCTCGTGGGCCGGATCAAGACATGCCGCATGCTGGGCCATAGGTCCCCATCCCTTTAACTAGATACAAATTTAATCACTAGCAGAACTTAAAATTATCGATAAGGTGAACTGATTTCGAAAGAACATGGTTTTCAAAGAAGAATAAATAAATTAAAACTAAATAAATATTTAGCTACCAGATTGCAGAAAATATCTCAAAAGTAAGTGACATGTTATTGCATATACAGGCAGTCCCCGACTTACGCGGATCCGACTTACGTCGGATCCGCACTTACGAACGGGGCTTTCTCGCTGCTCCGGTGCCAGCAGAGTTGCTCTGCCCCGGGCTTCCTGGAATCAGCTGCTGATCAGTTTCAGCAGCAGCTGACTTGGGGACGCCTGGGGTTCTTAAGTTGATTCTGTATGTAAGTCAGAACTGGCGGTCAGTTTCAGCAGTGTCTGAATCTGGACGCCAGTTCCGACTTACATACAGATTCAACTTAAGAACAAACCTACAGTCCCTATCTTGTACGTAACCCGGGGACTGCCTGTATTCTTGTTCTCTTATGCCATGTACCCCACAATATCTTATAAAACAATGTAACTCAGCATTTGGCACAGAAAGACAGGGAACGGGTCAAAAGCAAGATATACAAGTGTTCTACCCTGGTACAGGAAGGGACTGCTTTCATGGACAACTAGTTTGGAATGCTATATTCAAAACCCAAGAGGGATGCACCATGGAACCAAAAAGAATAAGTTGAAATTGGTGGGTGCAATCTTAGATGACATGTGAAGATATTTAGTTTATAAACAACCCCATTTAAAACCGAAGTGATTTTAGGGTTGCATTTTTGGGAAGCATACCGAACATAGCAAGAACCTACTTCCTGGAAGGATTGGGGATGTATTAGCTCTTTCTCTCCTATCTCACATTGTTTGTCTATAGACAATAAACTGGCTGCTCTTGAACACTTTTAATATCGAACTGCAAGTGCAGTCAACGCCAATTGGCTCTACATATTTATCAACAGAACAAAACAAACTATGGTGTTTGGGATCATCTTTCTCTGAGCAGCCACAGAATAGACAGAACTGCTCTCACCTCACAACTAGAGAGCCCATCAGATGCAAAATGAGGCTAGGAAGCCAGAGCACAGCTACAGAAGGGATAGGATAAAAGGGGGATGGAGGTCAGTGAGAGGAACAAGACTTTAAACACAATTTTAAGTCTTTCCCGACCAAAAGAATTCCCACTGGCGACTGTTTATGAAGGAGAAGCCAATGACTCCCTCTCTGAATTGCTTCTTTTTGGTAGGAGTTTCTTGTAAACAAAAAGATATTTTACTATTAATGTTGTGGTGGTACCTACAGCAGGGGTGGGGAACCTTTTCTGGGTCGGGGGCCACTGACCCACAGGAAAATCAGTTGGAGGCCACACACGTGAGAAGCGAAAAAACAACCCTAACCCAAAACGAAACCCTCACTGACATGGCCCCCGATTGTTGGGAGCGTCTTTCTCCTTCTCATTCCCCGTGTACACCAGAGCCTCGGGGGGCCTAGGCTAGTAGATTTTGTGTGCTCCAGCCCCACAAGGGGATGGCTGGGGAGCTGGAACACCAGCACAGGCTCCCCAATGCTGGGGGAGGGGAGGACTGAGCCTCGAGGGCCGGAGCCAGGCAAGCTGGGGGCTGCATTCAATTTGTCCTTTTCATATGTGTTCATTTTTTTTAATTGTATCCTTTGGTATATATGGTTGTGACAATTTTCTTCCACTATTTGATCTGAGGAAGTGGGTCTGGCCCACGAAAGCTCATCATCTAATAAACCATCTTGTTCGTCTTTAAAGTGCTACATAGTCCTGTCTTTTGTGGAAGTATGTCAGTCTCTCCTGTCCTGAGGGCCAGGTGAGAGCAAATAACCCCTTGGGCCTGGAAGCAGGACAAAGCAGGAGGCAGGAGGCAGGACTGCCTTGGGGGCTGGGAGCAGTGGCCGTGAGTGTGAGTTAGGTTTTCGGCTGGCTGAAGGAGAAGGGAGCCTAGCTGGCTGGGGCAGGGGCCCAGGGCCTCTCTTTCCCCAACACGGGCTGTACTGAATGCTCTTGGTTCCTGCAACAACAAATCTGAGCTACGCTGTGTCCCTGTCAATGAATAAACCTTCTGTTCTATTTGCTGGCTGACAGTCATGTGACTGCGGATGAGGGGTGCAGGGCCTGGTGACTCCCCCACACTCTGTGACACCAATAAAAATGTACAGTTACTTCAAAGAATAGTATCCTGCCACTGAGTCCAGAGTAAATGTATACAAAGTGAACATACTATATAAAACCCTTGTTAAAGCCACTCCATGCACAGATAACTGATGTACTGAGTTGGGCAAAACTTTATGCTTTGACACAGCAATAAGTGAACTTGGAAATGATCTGACACCCAGAAGAGGGAAAAATTCAGGCAGCAGATCTGCCTAGTGGAAATCCATTTGGATGACCCCCTTTTGCTAAAGAAACGGAACCTCCTTTTACGTAAATGCTTCCTTCACAGTGGAGCTCAGCACGTGCAGTAACAGGTCAGCCACAGCTAAATCATCTTTGTGAGGAAGTGCCACCAGTGACGTGGCTTCCTAGTGGGGATACAGAGTGAAATCCCGACTCCACTAAGCCCGTAGCAAAACGCGCATTGACTTCAATGAGGCTAGGATTTCACTCATGATGTGTGCTAATGATGGCTGTCTGGAAGGACCAGATACTTAAAGATGCTGTGTACTCTGGAGTAGGATAAGATTACTGGAACAATTATGTTCCTTAATCCTTTCATTAACAAGACAGAAGTTAATTTAAGTGGTAAGACCAGTGCAGAAAGAAATAAAACCAAGGGGAGAACATACATATTCCAACTACTCATCCCAACCTATTTAGGTTCTAATCAATGCAACAACAGACATTTGCTTTTTTTTATGCAAGGCAACAAAGTCTGCCCCCTACCTAGTCACAATTGGTGTCTCTATGTTAACCTGCCATGCAAACCATTCCTTTGCCCACAGATGGAAGCTCCCAAACTGCATCCCACTTACCTGCTGATGGTTGTAGATGTCATATTCTCCAGGAGGTGTTGGCACACAAGCACTAGTAAAGATTCTTTTACTTCCCGATTTAGTTCTATAGAGATGAGCTACTTCCGGCTCACAGCCCAATATGGGCACATTTAACATGTCAGCCACTGCTAAATCATCGTTGTGAGGAAGCCCACCAATCATGTAGGCTTCCTTGCCTTGGATAAGATTTTTTATTCTTTTGATCGTCTTGGGACTGTACTTCAGCTGAGTGGCCAGGCACATGTGATGGCCCTGCATAAAGACAACATTATTCTTGTTAAAAGGTGCTTTTTCCTATTCCATAAACCTAATTTAGAATGTTGCACACCATAAATACATTATTAATAGCAGGCTGGGTTATGACCTATCCTGTAGCTTAGCGGTTTAAATTGATAAAAGCTGTTGGGGTGAGGCTCCATAATCGTTCACATCTTTAGTGTGTTGGAAATGGGCTCACTGGGAATAGAACTAATTACTACACATCTGTATTTATTTGATCCACGTGGAATTATCCTTCTGTCAGTCGGCAGAGATGCCGGTGGCCTTTGGATAATAGTGATTCATCTCTGCAACACTTCTGGCGTGGTTTAACGCTACAGCGTCAACGAAATCAATACAAAAAATGAAGAAAAACCCCTGTAGTAGAGAAAATATTTCCTCAGACAGTGCAGCAGTGTTTTAAATGATTCTCTGCGAATGCAGCAGTTTGATTTAGCAAACCTTTCATTGATCACATTACATTACAGAGGATATACATTTCCATTATACAGTGGTTTTAATGGCTACAGTCAATTGGACTGCAGAGGGGAAGTAGAAGTGATTTTTTTTTAAAAAGCACAAAGGTTTCCATTTTTCATTTCTTTTTAAAAATAAAATGTCTATTTCTGGACAAGCTGTTCATGAGAGACATTGCATCAAGTAAAATTAAACTAAGATCATCAATCAGGGAAGGTAGAGTCTCCGGAATATTTGCTATAACAAACCCTATGCATGCATTGCAAATTATGCAAAGTATGTTACTTCACTGGAGCTGTCAAGGTACCTTCTGAAAGTGAGCAAGACAGTGATGGATGTTGTGCACAGAACAGCGCAACAGGCATTTAACAGGTCACAGATTGCTACTACACAAAATGAAGATAATGTTCTACAATCCTATCAGGAAGGAAGGTTTTTTTACAATGAAATTTCATCCACCAGTTCTGGGAAGCATTCCAGTGTCTTCAATGCATGCTTAAATGCTGTCCTTAATAGGGATGGACTTAAACATATGCTTAAGTGCTTTCCTGACTGGGGGTCTTAAAAGCTATGAAGTATAGATCTTGGACCTGGTGTCTGGGGAAGGAGTATTGTGGAAGTACCATTCTCAGGCCCCAGAAGTGAAGGGAAAGAAGGCCTCATGTCAGGAAACTCTCTAGCCAAATGGGGAAACAGTGCCCAAAGAGGGTGCAAGGCTCTTTGTAAAGTTGGCAGCCCCAATTGGAGAGATGTGGGATATAAATCAGAGATATGGGGCGATCCTCAAAGTTCCAGCAGGAGCAGAGAGGATCTTGGGAGGCATAACTAGCAGGAGAGTCACTAACAAACCAATATACCCGAGTTTCCTTGCTTTATTCCAGTTTGAAAGCACATTCTTGAAGTTCTGTCAAGTGACATTTGTATTTCCCCGCCCATGAACAGCAGCATGAAACCAGAAGAAAAAGACCAGTCTGACTGACCCAGGTTCAATTTCCTGTCCCGGTCACTTGTTCCCTAGAGCCAGGAGTGGTGATGCAAGGAAAAGATTTGCTGAGGGGGAAGGTGTCTCTCAATAACAGCTTCTACAGTTAATTAAGGAGTGCAGGCTACACGGCGTGAAATCTAGTTCATTCCGCCTCAGATAGTGAGGTGATAGCCATGACCGGAGGTGCTGAGGGGGAGAGAATGTAGAAGCAAAGGGATGTGGGGAATCCTCAGGATTCCAACGGGGAATAATACAGAAACAATCACGGCTAAGCTGAGGAAAAGGTCATTTGTTTTATCATCACCGGTGCTGGCTTGTTTCAAGGCCTCCACAACTAGGCCCTTGAGTCCAGATAAGCTCAGCTTGGCATCAGACTCAAAGTGGTGAGCAGAGGTGGTACGAAACCACTCAAGTCTGAGGCCAATTGAAGAATACCACAATTTAGAGCGGTCTCTGGGATGCTTTCCATTTTACCTGGCTGCAGCGATTCCCCAATGGCTCATGGTAGTAACAGGGGTTTGCCAGAGCACAAGCTTGTTTGGACCATGCACCCTTCTTTCTTGGGCCGTGTCCCTCAGGCAGAGGATTGGGCTCAGAGGTGGTGGCACAGCACTTGCATACAGTTATCACCACCCCGTGATTTCCCCTACACCAGCATCCCCACATAGTGGATCAAGTCAGTATTAAGGTTGCTTTGTACTGCCAGAGCTGGGACAGACTCCTTCATTTCAATCTATACTCCGGTACTTTGAGGATACTTTGAGGTAAATTTAAGTACAATGAGCAAAGACTTTACTCTCATGAACTGAAAGAAAGGTACCTAGAACAAACCTCAGAAGGTGTCAATTAGTACTCTACGCAGGCAAAACACTCACTGAACTCACAACTACTGAAGTCACTGGTGTTTTGCTGCAATAAGAAAGGCAGATTCTCTGTCAGGATGCCTCCATACTAAAATCAATACAGCTGTTTTCACTAGGACTTCAGATGTGGCAGATATCCCATAATAACCCCTTCAAAAGCCCATTGAAAGCATTAATAATTCAAAGTATCTTGCATTCATCGGAATGGTGCTTTCCATGGGGCCTCAACATACGGTATCGGCTCATAATATAGAGACTTTCAAAATTTCCTCTTGCACAATTTTCTGTAAACGCTCCTTAAAGCTGAACCACACACCTTAGCACTCCAGTGGGGGCAGACTCTGATATCCACTCTGAAAAAGTTCCATATAAAAAATCCTACACTGGATCATAGCTGACTTTGAAAGTTAAATACACTTAAACAAACAAGAATAAAACCAAAGCCTGATTCACGGGGTGGATTTAATATCCAAAATTTTTTACTTTAGACGATAAAGGACCAGCCAAAATCTGTTCTTGTACAAGCAGATTCACAAAGGTTGAACTTTTGGCATAGGATTGTTCCCATTCATGTCACGCTGAGTTTGGACAGAGGACTTGCCGATGAACAGCAGAACCATGTGAAAAGTGACTAATACTATTTTGGTGCCCGCTAACTTCAGAACACATAGAAAAATCTAGTCAAACCTATGTAATTCACTCATCTGTGTGGGGCATGCCTCTGTATTCATGTCGCACTCCCAGCAGCACTTGGCCCAGGTCGGGGAAGTAATGCTCCAACCAGCAGATCAAATTTGGTGATGAATTCTGGTCGTGTACCACCTAAGGCACGTTGTACATAAACTTAAGAAGACGTCTCTTAACTACCATGGAAATAGCAGGCACAATTATGGCCCTGACTCAGCAACCCATCTCTGTTCAACAAAGCACTTAAGCATGTGCTTCATTTTAGGCATGTGCTTAAAATTAAGCATGTACTTAGGTGTCTGATCAAACAGAAATGGATTTAAGAACATGCATAAAAAACTGCTGGTTTGGGGTCTAATAATAGAACTAACATCTGAAAGCCAACAAATTGACATGCTGCAGTAACAAAATATCCTTTGAAACTACTGATTTCAGCTCTCTCTCTCTCTCTCTCTCATATATATATATATATATAACCTAAATCATGCTGTCCCTTCATTAAGTTCATGTTTCTTCTCAGACTATGTTCCAGGGTTTGGGTTTAAATTGGCCTAAGTTCAAAGCTAATATTACTACAAAATCTAAATTAAACACATTTAAAGTTCCACACACTTAAAAAAAGTTTTAAATTGGATTCCACTGCAATCAATACTCTTGAGGAATGAATACATGAATGGCTGTTCAGCTATAAGCAGCTACAATCTGAGCGATAGAAATGTTTTTATTGTTACGCTTTCCTTAGCATTATAAATCTACCAAATTCTAAGTCCCAGACAAATATTTAGAATAGACACCAGCCCTCAGACAATGGGATAAGACTTCCTCAACTAAGTCTATAAAACTAAACTGGGATATTTATTTCCCACAGTCTAACTAGTGGTCTAATCAGTAAAGCTCTTAAACTTGCAATAATATTTCACTGATGGGTACCAGAGCGTTACACGTTATAAAATTTCCAATTTAATTTTACTGCATCCCTCAAGCTGTAGTAATTAGAAGACAAACTCACAGGGAAGCTGTTTATAGCTTCAGGGGTGAGAATTTTGAACCTGTCCTGCAGGTCACCCATGTCCTCAGGGTTCCCAGATCTAACAGCTGCCTGCAGACCCAGGAGTTTATTGTAATACTGCAGTAACTCCTCACTTAGATGAAGGGGGCAGATGTAGATGACGTCCACGTTGGCATCTAAAACAAATGGGCACAATGTTCATTATACGTAGAAAGGTAAACTCCATTGTGAACTGACAGCTGATGATTCCTGACCATTTGCTAACAGACAGCATCCTTAAAAGCATACTGGAAATAAAATGAGAATTGTAATTCCCAAATCTTACTGCTTTACCTGCTTTTCTGTACTTCAGCATTTCTCTGAAGACAGGTCACTAACCCAAAGAAATAGCTAGTTTTCGGAATTAAGTCTGCAGAACACATTGGAGGCAGAATTTCCAAAGCACTGCCAGGGGATTGGGTAGCGCAACTCATATTAACATCAATGGGAATTATGCACTGCTTTAAACATGTATCCCATTAGCTTCAGTAAGTGATAAAAGTGTGCTATTAATTCCTGAAAGCTGATGAAACTGCAATTTCATACGCTGCTTCGATTCTGCATGGCCTGCTCCTATCCTCGCCCCTTCCATGTAAATGCTCAAAGCATGAGGGCAATATTAACTTCTGCAGAACAAACGGGTGAGCCGATTGGATTGTGAAATACCAAATCTACGTGGATGCATGTAAAACAAGTTGGTGTGAAAAGCTGTATGTCCAAACACTTAGGTGTGAAAAAAACGCCACGCGACTGGAGATGCCATTTTGGAAAATTTGACCCAGTGTGGTTTTTTTCTAAAACATTAATACTAGACATTGATGAGTTAACAGGCCTCAGAACATCAACCCAGTGTGATGCTGTGAAAAGCACTCTGAGACCTACAAATAATAAAAAAAAGCACTATCAAGGTCTGAGCCAATTCCCATTGAAGTCAATTGTCTTGTCCAGAAACTAGACTGAGCCCTACAAGTACCAACAGTGATTATTATTACGGCAAGGGAAAATATAAGAAGGTGAAGCTACCATATCTAGGGGTAAATGTGGTAAGAAGGAAAACCAAGACTCGAAATAAAATAGTCCACTCATTTACTTTGCTTTGAAAACACCACCTATTAAAAAAAAACCACACAGAGTGTTCAGCTGTTGCATAAAAAATAACACAAACTGAGGAGCTAGCTCATAATCTAAGCTTTGATTGTGCCCATATGTACGAATGCACAAAATTCATGATCACATTATTTCAAAAAGTAATTACAATGAAGATAACAGTCCATTTGACCTTTGGTCAATACTCAATATCACTTTCAGTCACTCTTGAAAATTTGCCAGCCAGGGTGCATAAACTGCTCACCCGCCCTCGCTGTGACAATGAAAAAGCTAATGAACAGGGCTCGACGATCGCGGCGAAAACCACTCGCCAGCCCCACCCTGCGCATGCACGAACCACTGGTGAACGGGGCAACTGGCTGAAATCTACTCGCACCGGGAGAGTAGATAAGTGGATTTGTCGAGCCCTGCTAATACCCTATGGTTTTGTCTATACTGCAAGGTTTTTGCTCAAAAAGCTTTTTTCGGAAGAGATCTTCCGCAAAAACTTCTTGTGCAAAAGCGCGTTCACACCTCAAAAGCACATCGCAAAAGCAATGTGCTTTTACACAAGAGAGTGTCCACACTGCATGGACACTCTTGTGCAAGAAAGTTCGGATTGCCATTCACAGAATGGCCATCAGAGCACCTGTGCTTTTTGCGATAGGTTCTTTTTGCACAAGAAACTCTTGTTGAGCATCTACACACACCTTTTTGCACAAGAACTCTTGCGCAAAAAGGAGTTATGCCTTGTAGAAGGAGGTATACCTACCCCACAAAAAGCCCTCTGTTCTGTCGATTGACTAGTTTTTTTGTGCAAACACATTTGAGATATGGATGCTCAGCGGGTTTTTGCGCTAAACCGGCTGCTTTTGCACAAAACCCCTGTAAGTGTAGACATAGCCTATCGGAAAGTTACCTGCTCAGGGCAGGGTACAGTGAGTGAGCAGAATTTTGCAAGGCTGAATTAAAGACTGCTAAGACTACCCCTGCAACAGCTACCAAGATCTTTTGGGGCCTTTTTAGGATGGGGGGAGGGAGGAAATTAAGTGAAATCACTCAATATTCTCAGAACCTCCTTTGCCTCCTCCACTTTCCTTCTGTCTACACCACTTGTCTGCTGCTTATTCAGTTTCAATTGCAACTTTGCTGCTGCTGTTTCTGGTAAATGTGTTCATGCAGACCACATGGTACACCCAAAGTGCTGTCAAATGCACAAAGTAAATGAATGGGGAAAAAAAGAACAAAATGAAAAATCTCTCTAAGTGCCTTCAGTTGTAATCTTAGGATTTATTTCTAGGCTATTTATTGCTAAGTACAAAATTCTCTGATGGAAATGCAATTTTCATGTTTGCAGATATGAAGGTGAGAAGAAACCGTTCGATCATTAAGGCTGACTCCTATACAACTCATTAACATTCTCCCTTTCAGTTTTGAACAAACAATGTAGATGTAACTAATGTATCATTAAAAAACCCTCCAAAAAATAAAAACCAACTGTATTATGGAAAAACAACATTAGTGCCTAGATAATATATAAAGGCAATTACATTATTATTTTAGGCTACTGTAAATTTCTGGATCTAACATTTTTGTTACAAAGTTACTAAATGGCATTTATGAAATAATAATGACAATGAAATATATATGAATCATGTAAAGCGTGTCATTCCAGGGAGCCAACAAAGTTGGTTATTGACAAATTAATATCCTTCATTGCCTTGCTTAAAGAAGAACTGTCATGCTGGGAAAACTTTCAGATCTATGTTTCTTACTTCATTTGCTAATTTTAAACAAATGGTTTAAATAAAGGCTTACTCTTCCCCCCCATCTTCTCTCCTAGCATGATTCTGAATGCATAACTGGCACTGCCTAATTATTAGTCAGTTCTGTAGAGTGCTAAGCTCCCGGTCTGCCAAGAAATGCTCAGCACTGTGCAGAATCAGAGCCTTAGTTCACTGCAGAATCAAGAATAGCAAGTATGTTCCTCTTATGAAAATCTCAGAAAGCAGCAAATGGCATAGAGGGCAATCAGCTACAGAAAAGTGCTTTTGCATTTCAATACTCTCTGCATTCAAGATTATTACAGCAAAAAAGTCCCCCCATCCATGTGCTTTTCTTTAAAAATAGGAGAAAAACAACAAAAATGTAGGCAGCTGACTGCTCTTACTATACCTAGTATGTCACACAGTCTCCCCATCTGCAAGTTCTGCTGAAGAGCAAAATCAGGAGCAGCTTTGCGAATACACTGGGAATACCCTAAAAAGAAAATAAGTTACCAACACCTATTAATAAAAATCCTCATATATCTTTCAAAGAGATAAGATTTTAGATAAGCTAATTACATTTTTCCTTTGAAAATCATTGTTTAAAATGTATTTTGTAGTTATTCTACCCATAAGAATTAAATCCTTATTTATTTTAAAGAAATATTTTGAAATGCAAACGCAGAGCACAACTCTGTTCCTATTCAAATTAAACACAAAACTGCTGCTGATATAACTGGAAGGAGAATTAGGCCAATAAAAAGCATGCTAAGAAGCTGATTCTGCTACTAAAGCTTCAATCTATTTATTTTTATTATTTTATTTCTTTTACTAATGCCATAAAACTCCCAGAACCAGGATCATGCAAGCGCACTGAGGTTTTGTGACATGCAAGGACGGAAGTTCCATGCATTGTGAGAAATGCAGAATATGCTCAAATTCCAAAAGTGTCATTTATTAGGTTTTAGAATCCATAGCTCCCATGCAATATTTTAAAAACAGTATTTCAGATTCATTCTTGTCTGACAGCCAAATTTAAGCAAAACACCTTCTAGTCTGAAGTAAGAATTTGCTGGAACTGAGCACTAAAGAAAACCCATGCACCAAAGAGACTCAATCAATCAAAATAAATTAAAATAAACAAACGCAGCTAATGTTTAGTACTAGCAGAAGCCCCACTGAGCAGGTATTTTTTATGCTATGCCAATTTTCAGAAAAATATAAATTTCGACTTAGGGCCTCTTAAGTTGTTGAACCTAAAATATCCTCATGCCTCCCTCTAATGTGACTATATTTTTAGGAACTGTAGAAGTGAGGCATTTAACCTTTCAAACCTGGCATTCCTACAAAAGTTTTTCAATCCTCTTGTTTGTTAAGACTCTTCTTGGTGGAGGCATTCTGAAAGAAGTGTTTTATCAACTAAACAAACATAGAATCATGTGTGTGAATTTAATTAGCTATTTTCGTTAATGGACAGGAGCAGCATCATGCCTGTGTGTGATGAGATTTTTAAATAAGGACTTCAGTATTAAAACCTGTAGTACTTTATAATCCCAAAAGTACATTTTTATGTGTATTTTATTTGGGTTTGCGCACGTTATAGTTTTTAAAGCCGTAGAGAAAAGTAAGTTCACCTTCCGATCAAGCAGTCTATTCCATTAGCACATTGTTCTTCAAACAAAGATAAAAAGCAACCAAAAATGAATAATTACAAAAGACACCTAGAATACAATCTCATTGATATCTGATCACTCTGTTTCAGAGGATGTAATGTCTGGATGACTAACAGTCTGTGTGGGCTAGGATTATCTTTCTGAAGGGCAGGTTTCTGATTATTCCCTCACCTTCTAAAATGCTCCTCTAAATGACATGTTTATAGTGACTATAATCTTTAATTTCGGAGATTTTAAAATGTAGCTAATTCTAAATGAACCGGCTAGAAAAAGATTCTAATAAAAACATCAGATCAATTGCCAGCAGAGACAGTTGTCATTAAATCAATAGGATGTGTGACCTAATACCCAGTGTTTAATGTAGACTCTGAAGTGGTCTGTTAACAAGATCGGGTGACATTAAGATGTTAAGTTTTCCATACATCTGAACATGGCTAACCACGTGGTCTGATTAAAATTTGCCTAAATTCTAAAATATTAAATATTAGTAAGATAACAGTATTAATAGATTTATACAGAGTACTGCTATTTCACCTTTTATTATAAGGAATTTGCTTTTGGTAAGAAAATTAGCCATGACTAACCAGCAACATTCTTAGTTTGTCAGTGTAGTTCTATACATAAGAACACAAGAACAGCCATACTGGGTCAGACCAAAGATCCAGCTAGCCCAGTATCCTGTCTGCCCACAGTGGCCAATGCCAGATGCTCCAGAGAGAGTGAACACAATAGGGAAGCAGCAAGTGATCCCATTTCTCTCCTCCACTCCCAGTCTCTGACAGAAGCTAGGGACACCATTCCTACTCAGCCTGTCTGTTAGCCAGGGCTCTACAAATAGTGTAATCTACTCACCCGTGGCGAGTAGATTACACCACGGAAGAGCCGGCACAGAACCACACGGCTGATGAGCAGGGCTCGCCGCCACTCGGCGAGCCCTGCTAATAATCATCGATGGACTGATCCTCCATGAATTTATCTAGTTCTTTTTTAAATCCTGTTAAGAGTCCTGGTCTTCACAACATCCTCTGGCAAGGAGTTCCACAGGTTGATTGTGCACTGTATGAAGAAAAATTTCCTTTTGTTTGTTTTAAACCTGCTGCCAATTAATTTCATTTGGTGACCCCTAGTTTTTATGTTATGGGAACGAGTAAATAACTTTTCCTTATTCACTTTCTCCACACCAGTCATGACTTTATAAACTCTCTTCGTCTCCTCTTTTCTAAGATGAAAAGTACCAGTCTTTTTAATCTCTCTTCATATGGCACCCATTCCATAGCACTAATCATTTTTGTTGCCTTTTCTGAGCCTGAACATATGTGCATGATCCATAGAAGCAATGACCCAAAGGAAATATCAAGTAATTAAATTCTAAAAGATTTAGTCCAAACATCTTAAAGGCAACTGCTAATGTCCAGTGCCTCAACTGAGAGACACAGAGCTTCCTATTGAGTGGTCCTGAGTACCCATTAATTTAAACAGCAGTTGTGAATAGGGTACCATTGTTCAGTGTCGGTCTCAACTGAGGCACTCCAAATTAGTGGATGCTTCTGAAAAATCTTGGCCTCAACCGCATGAAAAATTAAATTTTACAACCCGCCTCAAAGGTCTGTGAGGGAAAACTTAGGCACAGATAAATCAAATAATTAGCCCAAAATCATACACTAAATCAGCGATAGAGCAGGGAGTAAAATCCAAGTACCTGACACCCGCTCATGTTTCTAATCCACTAACTATGGGGCTTAATAATTACTAAATTTTAGACACAGGAAACAAACAAATTGGTTGCCATGAACTAAACAGTTTCATATTTAGGAAGAAAATATTTAATGTTGTCATTTGGAAAATGCATCATTATTTTAAGCGGCAAATATTAAATTTTCCGCTATAGAACAAATTTCAATAATTTTTACATTGATGATGTTCTGCAAATGAAAAATACCAGCTACAGTATGTAATTTTCTAAAATTAGCTACCTAAATACTAATGACACATCATGTCATGAATAAATTGTGTGACATCTTTATGCCATTGACGTCAATAACAAAATTCCAATTTTACCCCCAGGCATGCCAGGCACCTTCCAGCTAACAGCATTCGCTATACCAATGGTGAATCCTGTCACCTGGCTGCTGAGCGGTACTATTCATGAAAGCCTTTTTCTGATCCACCTGTTGCAGCTTTCTTCAACTTACCAGTATCACAGCCTCATAGAAAGGCAGAGCTGGACAGGGTCCAAGTCACCAAGTCCAGCCCTTGCATTGTGGCAGAACAATGCAAACCTGGCCAACCCCTGAAATGGTCTTTGTCCAACCTGTTTTTAAAAACCATGAATGATGGGGATTCCACAGTCTCTCTCTGGAATCAGAGTTTAAATAAACTTATAGTAAAAGTTTTCTACAATATCTAGACTAAATCTCTCTTGCTACAGATTAATCCCATTACTTCCTGTCCAATTTTCAATGGCAATAGATAGGCTGCCAACGGTGGGGGGAGGGATGCAGAGAGAGCCCTGAGTCCTTTAAATCACTACTGGAGCCCCCTGCAGAATACTTGGGAGTGGCATTGAGGGCGAATTAGAGGAGGCGTGGCACAGTCTGAGTGGTGCTGAGAGCTGGCGGCTCTAGCCCCACCCCTTCCACTCGAGGCCCCTGCCCCTTCAGGGGATCCAGAGCCAAGTTTTCTCTGTCCTCCACCCACATTGCTCAGGGCCCAGCAAAGTAAGTCACTAGCCCCAGAAATAGAGAACAATTGATCACTGTCCTTTTTATAACAGCCCACAATTAGTATATATAAATTACGCTTACATCTCCGTGTTAACAGTGCACTTCCGCTTCTGATATGTGCAGTTATGCATTTATTTTAGCTCTTCCTAAAACTCTGGGCACAGCTGGGTTTGGTTTTTTTAAAGGGTCTGAAATGTTAAAGCAATTTTGCAACTACAGAATCTCTGAATATGAACTCAAGCCATAACCATAGATCATCTTTTTGAGTCGGAGGCCTAACCTGGGGTTGTGTACCCTGACAGCATGAGTAAATAATACTTCCAATTGGAGTTAAAATCAGTGATGTGGTGATATTTTGGACTCCCAAACCTGCAGCATATTAGAGGCTGGTGATATGCACATTCCCTCACATTCCACATCAATCAACCATGATGTGCCAATGGCTGAGCTGGACTACAGAAAAGCTCAATCTCTTAGAGTGAGAACTGAGGATTTCCAAGTGCAATGAGTCGTCATGGTACCAAAAGGACACAGAGGCATTTGCTTCTTTAACATCAGTTTCACACCAACATACCTACATTGATGTCAATGGAGTTACTCCTAATTTACACTGGGGTAAAAGATAGTCAGAGCTCTACTGAAAACAGAAGTAGAATATAATGGTAAAGGGAATATGTTGCTTCCCCTTCTCACTCTTCCCCTGCCAGGATCTAGTAACCTTTCTACATATGTTTTGCAGGTCCTTTTTAGTGCCTGTCGCCCCACAAAGAGTCCTTAATACTTTTCAAAATTGAGTCTGAAAATAAAAGCAGTGACGTGAAGCAGGGAGGTGGCAAAAACATAACAGTGTAAGAAAATTGGGGTTTGGGAGTTTTGCCTATAGAAAAAGAGGGAAGAAAGATAGCTGGAATTTAATGAGCACATATGCTAAAACATATCTCTATTTTGTCCAATATATGTGGCATATTTACTTTAAAGTACTTGTATTTATGGAAACACCATTTTCTAAAAGACTGAGTATTGCATAGGCATTACACTCTCATGTAGCAGTAAGAAGGGGTTAAAATGGGGAGGCAGCAGTGAGAGGAGGGAGGGAGAGAAGGAAAGGAGATGCCACAATAACTATATATTATAAACAGTTCTGCAGAGCAATGTTATTGAGTGGAGCAGTAATGTTATTAGGAAATAAGTCCACAGTGTCTTTGTGTTGTAATAAGAGACTCTTCTCGGGATAAGATAAAACATAATTCCAGAACTAGAATATCTTACTGCAATTATACATTTTTAACATTCACATATTAATTTAATAAAATGATAAATTCTCAGTGGATAATTACAGCCCATTAACGTTTTTACTTGCAGTACATGTTAAAGAAAAAAAATTACGTTAGTGCAAGTATGAATGGAATTTGACCTAGAATCAGGTCAAAGTTAGGCCCAAATTTAATTTTTGCAAAAACAATTAAAAGAAAATTCTATAACTTAAAAGCACCCAATGAAAAGAATTATATCAAAATAATAACCATTCTCCTACAGTATTTGCAACTGACATATTGCAGCACTGTAGTAAAGCATTAGAATTTGAAAGTGAAATTAACTAGAAAGTGTTTCTAATCAAACGTGAAACTGACTAGCCTGTTTTCACTATATTAACAAAGAGGAAATGCAAAGAGCAACAAACTGTTTAAATAATTAAAATTGTATTTTTAAAATCCAGTTTTAATAAAACAAGACTTTGTTACTAGTAAAATGAACATAGAAATGTGCTCCTTACAGAACTATGATTTTTAATCTGACAGTGTCTTGTTAACCAATCATCTCATTTAATAGTTCCTTTAGTTATGTGCAGCAAATGGGTTATGGTCCTATAATGTTCTTCAAGCTGAAAAAAGCAAAGAAATTCAGAGTTAAGAACGTGGCCTAATTTTGGTTGGGTCCCAGCTGCATGAGAAGTGATTCAGGCTTTGACACAAGTGAAATCCTGGCTTCGAGGAAGTCAATGGGAATTCAATGGGGCGGTCTTAATCAACTATACGGGAAAGGAAAAATATTGCTAGTGAAGAAGACTTTGTCAAACATGAACTTCTTGGTGCTCAGCACTTGTGTCCCAAGTTTATGGTTACTTAGACATATTCTTATGTTCATACGACTCAATTTCTTTGCGCTGTTGAAGTCAGCTGGAATTTTGTGTAAGTAGTGTTGAGTAGGGTCATTATGTTTTATAGATACGTTGTATCTTCCGATTATGAAATGAATATTATTTGTTCAAAGAGGAGTGTAGCCTCTCATGTAAACATGTAATCAAGCTTATTTATTCCAATGCTCAATTAGTCGACAAAAGAGGAATTGCTTTGGTATCTTGGCTACAAGTAATTAGTGTTTTTCAAAACACGTATTATTATAGTACTTGTCAGAGCAAAAATAACAATCAGAGAAGATCTGATAAATTACAATGACAGTAAATGGAAATGCCTTGGTTATGGGTGAAAAATCTTATGAAAATATTTTTGAAAAACAAAACCTATGCAAAGAGGAATATTTAAAAATTTCAGGTTGTTCCAGCTTTATTTTTTAAATACTTGAAAGGGACTTAGTTCATAGAACTGAAAAGCCTTCATGTTTTCAGTTTTTTAAATGTAGGTTATATTTAAAAGTCTGTTAAGTGTCAATCTGCTTAGCTTCCAGCTATGGTCTTTTATATTTGCGTATCTTAAAAGCAGCCCAACTTTTTTTAAAATTCTGTTTTCAGTCTGAATCTCTTATAAAAGAAAAAAAGAACAAAGCTTTTATGCTAATTTATAACATGAACAAAATGCTAATAGGAATCCAAAATATATCTAAAAAACCTGAATTCTGTAAAAGAAGTATCAATGCAATTGCATATATTTACTGTAATAAACATGAATATACTTTTCTTACAATACCATAAGAATCCCTATTTTGATTGACATAATTTTAATATTTTCTTCATTTAATAGTTAGAAAATTACCAGGTGTACATATAAGAAAACATTTGAACTCATAATAAAAATATACCTAATACAGCCTATTTATTCTTTTAAAGAGAGGAGATTCCTGTCTAGAGCCTGAATCCTATAGCTTCTTACAGGCATGTAGGCTGCTGCATACAATAAATTGCAGAATAAGGCCTAGGCATCAGGTCAAATGCCAAATGAAAATGGACTCCCTATTTAGTTTAAACAAGTCATCAAGAAGTCCTAAAAATATTTTGAATTATATTTGTATATTTTGCTGGAAGGTAACAGAAACATTTGAATATCAGGCACATTTCACTTTAAAAAAGAAAAGAGGTTTTAATATTTATCTATTATGATACCAAAATTTTGAAAACAACTTGAAAACCATTTGTTGCTTAGCAATACTGCTGACATTTGAATTTACAGATATAATTAACAAATGTTTTCCTTCTACAACTGGTCTCCCTCTCCATTCCCATTTTCATTGAGTTTAAAACCACTGGAATTTAAATATTATCTTTAAATTTTCATGCTCCAAATTATAGTTCTGATGCACGATTAAATCTGGTCTAGTAATTTGTGACAATTTAATATCAATGTGCAAATAAAAACATTGTTTCATAGGCTATACATTTATGTAAACATAATGTGCATTGTGCAAAACTAACTTTTCATGAAAATCAAAAGGATATATATTCTATAAATATAAGAGACAAAACTTAGTCAAGTTTTCATTAATTCAAATCTAAGCCAGTTCAATTCATAAAATCCTAACTCTCTAAGGTCAATTAATTTGCTATGAAAGCATAGCAAATAAATCAAATCACAAACATTTTGACAGCAATTCATGTTTTAAGAGATTATTGGTGCATTTTGGAAATTCCCAAGAAATCATATTCTGTAATTTCTAAACAACTACACTTGGCTACTGCTTTGCAGAAAACAGCTTTTAAGTTCCCCAATTCATAAATGTAATTAAATAATTACATTAGTGCTAATTAACATGAAACTGCAGATTATTTAAGCGCAAAAAACACTATTCAACTTCTTAATTATTCTTGTTCACACAGCATTTCCTTTTGCTCAGGCGCCCTAGGTGCAAATAAAGCATCCCATCTGCTCGTAATTAGAACTAAATAATTTCAGAGAATGTAGCTTATCATTTTGACTGCACATTTGATTAAAATCAGTGTACAAGCAATACCCTGGCTTACTGCTGTAACAGCAACAACACACACAGGCACACATTCGTCTATCATTAAAGAAGACTGAAAACATTATCTGTTATTTCGGGGGGGGGGAGGGAATACAACTTTTTAGTTCATTTCATACAGATGAAAGCGAATTACAGCAAATCACCTCTCCACTGAATAGCGGCCTCCACATAATGACTTTATTTGCTTAATCCCCAAATTAAACGCCGTTTCGAGCGAGGGCCCTGTGTTATTACTCTCATCATGTTGAGAACATTTTCCTGCCGAGACCAATTTGAATAAAACAAGGGGCCTTCCTTGAACTCAATCAAGGAGTCATAATGTGGTGGGTAATAGAGGTTGCTGATAGATTTGCAGGCAAAAGTGTTATACCTAATGATGGGATATGGATAATAGTCCTCCTGGAGGTCCTGATGCGATTCCAGTTGGCTGCCAGATGCTAAAAATCAAGAAGAGCATTGATCAGTGACAGGAAGCTATAGTGGATTCATCTAGTCAAACTTCAGCTGTTTTTCCACTGTACAGTTAAGCCAGGCATAAATTATATTAATTGATTTAATTACATACTTAAAACATCTTCCCCAATTAATTTAATTAGGTGGCTACATGAAGCTACTGGCAGGGGAAGATTAGAGGCTGCTCACTTAATTAACAGAATATGAATGAAAAAAAAGAAAGCAAACATAAATGAAATTGTGAGCACTAATTAAAAGGCTGTCTACAAACTTAAATACTTTCTGACAAAGTGGTGACAGCAATGTAGACAAGAGAGGGATTTTTTTCCAGCCAATTTACTGCCACAAGGTATATATAGGGAGCTACAGTAATGCAGTTAAAACATTGATTTTCTGACAGAACTACCAAAGTCATAGTGAAGGGACATTTTCCATAGAAAAATTGCAACAGATTCTGCAGCCACAAAGGCTGAATCCCTGATGAAGGATGAAATATGATGCTCGGACAAGTGTATGGTTAAAGGGAAAAAAATGGAAACAGCTTATTGTGATTACTCAAGCAAGAGATGTTTAGAAAAGAAGTGCTGCTGTAGCAGCTGGCAGCACAGCACACCTTGGCCCTGATGTAAAAATTCTCCAGGTGTCTCTGACGTGATTCCTTCAGGGTCTTTTTTACACGTGCCATGTGATTATGCAGGAGCCAAGAAATGGCAATCACACCTGATGCCCACTGCTGCTGCCTGTAATAGATGTAGGCTTTTCTGGCCTTATAGCGCCTCCATGTTGCTTGGATCTTTGTGGCAGCCATTTCAGTACCATGTTGCCCTTTGTATCTCTGGCCAGGTTGATTTAAGATCCTTTTCACAGTTGTTCGGTTCTTTATCACTGACAGAAGGTCATCTCTGGTCAGCCTCTGGTTAAGTTCAAAGTCCGATAGGAGCTCTAACAAGTTCTTAGTCTTTATTATAGCCAAGGGTACAGCATAGTCCTTGAGAAGCTTCTCTACATGTTCCAAGAAAGAAAGAATACCTCCCCAGGATAAACAAAAGTGCTGTTTAAATGCCACGAAGTCTGGAGCCTTATGATCTATAGTGCCATTGTAAATAGTTAGATCATAATCCAAAAATGTATTCTGCAAGGGCTGAGGTGACACCATAGGTGGGCTCTGTGGAAAGAGAGCACAGCCACACGTTAACGGTAATTACAGATACTTATAAATTACTGGATAAGACATACTACCATTTTATCGTTTACCACACAACTGTAGGAAATTACAGATCCAGAAATGTTTTCCTTATATTGACTTAACATATACACATCATGGGTATGTCTAGGCTACAGGCTTCTGTCGACAGAAGTTTTGTCAACAGATACTGTCGACAAAGCTTCTGTGACAAAGAGTGTCTAGACTACATCCAGTTCTGTTGTCAAAGCAAGCCGCTTTGTCGACATGACAGTGTAGACGCAAAGGACAGTGTAGATGCAATAACGCCTTCTGTCAACAGAACTCTGTCGACAAAAGGTGTTATTTCTCGTAGAATGAGATTTACAGCCATTGACAAAGCCGTCAACAACGCAGGTATAGTTTTGTCAACAAAAGTCCACTTTTTTCGACAAAACCCTGTAGTCTAGACTCACCCCATGAGAACAAAGGCTGGCCTGTACATACCTTAAAACTCATTACCAGAAAAGTGCCTTAAGAGGTCACTCAAACTATTAACATTTTTATAGGACTATATTAGGTGCTATGGGGAACTCTGCTGGATGTTATCATATATAAAACAAAGCTCTATGGGAACTCTGATTTGCTCAGTTGATCCCAATTCTATATGATTTCTCTGACAACAGCTTTCCAACATTATCATCTCCTTCATAAGATGTCCATCAATCCTGAGAAATGGGAAACATCCTTTCCTACACATTTGCCAGGATCAACACACCCAGCTCCCAAAACTCACTACTTCTGTATTTTACCACAACTTTTGTCGTCACTGGACACTTCACGCAGTTCACCAGATTTAGCTTTTGTTCCAACTTCACTTATTTAAAGGAACTTATTTGCAGTGTTATTTCCTATTTCAAAATAGGAAATTAGAATTTGATACTTTCTAATTTCCTAGCCTGATTCACCAAGCTTGTTTTATTTCTTCTTTTCATTTCTCATCTGGGCCACAGCATGCATCAGCATGCTAGTGACACAGAAGTCTTAAAAGGTCAAGCAAAACATCAAGCCCTGATTGGCATGCAGTCCTGTAATTCAGGTGCATGTAAAGGGAAGGAAACATCATAGATGCCAAGGACCATCAAGCCTCAGTAATAACTGAAGACTCGGGTGCAAACTCTCCAACAGCTGCAGGTGAGACATTCTATTTGCCTATATGAACGATGCAAGAATTATAGGAGACACTTAGCAAACGGGCGCTTGAGGAAGGTTTTCTATTTACTTCAACTGGCTTTAGATTAGGCCCTAATGCCCTGATTCAGTGGTGAACTACTGTGTCTTAAGCAACCTTTGATGAACACAGAACTGAAAATCGACACAACAAAATCGAATTGTCATCAATACCTTTGGCTGAGGGGAAGTGCTTTTTTCCAACTCCAGCTCTTGAGCTGGTTGTGTCCATAATCGCTTTGATTTCTTAGCTGACGTCATGGAGCTGCTGGATGGAGGTGGAGCGATGCTACCTTTGTTGGAGGAATAGGAGTCATCAGGACCTTTCTGAGAGTCTGGAAAGATGAAGATGTCTGTGCCAGCAAAGTCCACTTTGCTCCCAGTCCCTCCTGTACCAAGAGAACAATGCAATGCAAGGTTGTATGGCTAAGAAGAAATATCGTACAATAGAAATAAAGTGCAATTTCACCAACTGAAATGGGCACAGAAGCTATTTTACTCTGATGTCCAAATAGGTTGCCATTTCCAAAAGACATAATCCAGATATTAAGTGTTGACCAAACCAGCAGTATTTTTGGAGGAAAGTATTAATGATATAACTTTGTCATCAAATGCTAATAACAGACTGAAAGACAATCAATCACACAAGTACTGTGATCAGGTTACAGAAAACCATAGCAATTTTTAATATACGTTTTCTAAACTACTATACCTGCCAAAAGTATATCTGCTTTCCATAATATATTAAAGCAATGTATATTATATCACACACTCCTTAAATGCTTGTCATTTTCATTCCATGTGATCCCATGCCACTGCCATGATAACTCATGGCCCTTTGTTTTATTTTTTGGTTACATCCATCCATTACGAAGCCTTTCAAATCCAAACCAATTGCAGTTTGGCTCATTTGTGGACTTGCACATGGTTGCCACATGGACTTCAGCCTTTCTATATGGATGTATGCAGCAAGAGAACACCAGATTGGAGTAGATTCTGCATTCCAACGTTCAGGTCTGGGGTACCGTATTTTCCGGCGTATAAGACGACTTTTGATGCTAAAAAACATCCCCCAAAAATCGAGGGTCGTCTTATACGCCGGGTATACAGGCGGCGGGGCAGCCCAGGCAAAGCCTCTGGCAAAGCCTCAGAGGCGCGGGACCCTGCCGCTGCTGTGGCTTTCCTCCCGGTGCCTCTGGTCTGCTGGGGACCGTCTCCAGCAGACCAGGGACACCAGGAGCAAAGCCGGGGAGAGGCGGAGGGGCGCTGGGGTATAAGACGAAAACCTATCTTTTAACTAAAAAATTAGGGGGTCGTCTTATACGCCCAGTAGCCTTATACGCCGGAAAATACGGTACTTTGTTAGTACTCTGAGTAATTCTCTGATTTTCCTCCTGCTTCGATACTCGATGTAGCTCCTTCCAGTGTCTTGACAATATTAATTCTTAATCAACTAGCCTAAGTCATGGTTGAATTATGGATTTTACTCACTATTGAACACTGGGGGCCAGATTTCAAAGATATTTAGGCAACTACAGATGCAGATAAGCGTCTAGCGGCATTTTCAAGAGTGTCCCGTGCCAAATTCTGGTTGAAAGCCTCTGGAACTCCACGCTCAGCGTGCATCGGAGTATAAACTCGGGTGGCTTTGGGGGGAGCCTGGAGTAGGCCCATGGTTCCCCAACAGGCAGTTTCTCCTGGGGGCATTCTGCAGCAAAACATTAAAAATGCTGTGCACAAGATCTTCAAATTCTGCAAAATTCTGCTCATTTTATTTGTCAATATAACACTATCACACCAGTTTTATTTTGGAAATTCATTTCATAACACCTGTCAGCAACTACGTCCCTAACAATACAGACACACACACAAGAATTCCCACGAGAAGAGAGTTCTCCTGGGGGCATTCTGCAGCAAAACATTAAAAATGCTGTGCACAAGATCTTCAAATTCTGCAAAATTCTGCTCATTTTATTTGTCAATATAACACTATCACACCAGTTTTATTTTGGAAATTCATTTCATAACACCTGTCAGCAACTACGTCCCTAACAATACAGACACACACACAAGAATTCCCACGAGAAGAGAGTTAAAGAAACCCTCACGACAACCCTGTTCCTGTTTCTCTGCCCCCACCCTCACAGAGCCCCCCCCAAAGCCTTGGCTTCCAGAGGGAGAGAGAGCCTTATGCCGGGTTCCAGGCTTGCACAGATTTTCCTGTGCACTGCTGCTTTCTTCCTTCACGGCACGCTGGGAACTGTAGCCGCTGGTAAACCCCCTAGTTCCCGCTCTCTCCCCCAACACACAACCCGTTTCTTGTATTTTCAAGCTGGGATCTGCAGGATCCAGTCACCCTGTAGTGGCAGCCAGCAGCACAGCAGTCCATTTCTGTGGGGATAAAAGGAAATTCTGCACATACCACCTTAGTTTCTGCAAAATTCTACATTACATAGTAGTGCAGAATTCCCCCATGAGTACCAGCTCTTATCTAATATATCCACACATCAGGGAAGCAGCCTGGATCTGGCCCCTACTCAAAATCTATGAGTGCTGGGGGCCTGGATGTTTTTGAAAGTCGCAATAGTTGCCTATTTTCAATGTTAGATGCCTAAAAATCCTTTAAAACCAGGTCTTGCGTTCATTGTCTCCACAGCTCTCCTAAGAGAAAACAAGACCCTGGAGAATAGAAGGCACAGTTCAGAATTTAACTGATTAGCACGATCAACCTTTTATTCTTACCTACAGCTGGCTTCTTGTGTTGTTTGTGAAATTCATGGAGAGGAGCTGCTTTGGGTAAAACAGGAGGTGATTCAAGTGTAATCTTGGCTGCTGGTGGGATTAGCCTTCGCTCAATTAGATTCAGAATACCTAGAAAATGAAAACATCACTGAACAATGTACATTTAATTTTGTGTTTAATAAAGTTACATGAAGCATCTCAAGTTACCTAAAGAAAAACGTTCTACCCTCTTAACAGGCAATGGTAGCTAATTCTTTCACCCATCATCAAAGACAAGATGTTGTCAATTAATAATTGTAAAGAAATAAATTAGATGAAGGTTAAGATGAGCCTTTTCATTTGTTTTAATGAATTTTTCCTCAAGCCAGCTGGAACTGGAGGAGCAGTTGTTGTTGTTTTTTTGGATAAATCCAAGAAAGGCAAACTTAGCCAAACAGTGACATACAAATTCAATATACTGTACTGGGGCAGTATTATAAACAGGAATTATATGTTTGTGAAATGGCAAATCTGAGATAAATGTAGAACTATTGAGAAGAAAGACTTGCAAATTACATTGTAATTGTGGTTATAGAATTATTACAAATAATTTGATCCAGTCTCTAAATAATCCAAATGCAGCTTGTTACAGTTCCGGGCCAACTTCAGACCCTTTTGATTGTTTTAAAGAAACTGATAAACAGGAATTATATGTTTGTGAAATGGCAAATCTGAGATAAATGTAGAACTATTGAGAAGAAAGACTTGCAAATTACATTGTAATTGTGGTTATAGAATTATTACAAATAATTTGATCCAGTCTCTAAATAATCCAAATGCAGCTTGTTACAGTTCCGGGCCAACTTCAGACCCTTTTGATTGTTTTAAAGAAACTGGCATT